CCATCTTGTAGACATTAGTGAGTTTTGTCTACCATTTAAAAAAAAACGTTCGTGCTCATGACCTATTATTGAGGAGATCGAACGTTTTAGTGAATTTTGGCTGCAGTACACGACATTTGCTACAAGGCTATGCTTCCGAATTCCTATCTGAAACTTTATCCACATAAAGGATCACAATTAGATTAGCTTGTATAAAAATATTTTTTATTTTTCGAGCCAACTCAAAGAAAAGAAGCTTTCAAAAGTGACATGCTCTATATGCTATCGATGGAAAGAACTTCCATGTTAAAGGTTCCATATCTCGAAACAACTTAGTTCAAAAGTACTGACTTTTTTTATACGAGCTAATCTAATTGAGTTCTTTATCAGTGTTGCAAGATCAGAAATTTAAAAAACAGAAAACAATCAGAATTGTTTTTTCACAACATAAGATATTGATCAGAAAGGGTCATTTTTTGAGAACTAGTAGCTATGATCCCAGGCAGTTTATAAAACGAGATTTTATCAATTTAAACTAGAATATATTCACATAAACGCAGTTTCGAAACAGAAACTAGCTGCAAATTGCCGCCAGCAACGCAAATGGTATATAGCAAAATGCAGAAATCCAAAGGAATTTTGAATTCCATAGAACTCCACAGAATTTTGTACAACATCATACGAAATTCATAGAATTCCAGGATTCCGTTATTTATTCCTTGCATATTACGGGAACATAATATGATTCATGCATTCTTCAAATAAAATAATAAAAAATGAATGATTAATAACTAAGAAAGTGTGTTCATTTCAAAGTTCTATAACGAAGAGGAATTACTCAAGTGAAGATAAATGTGTAAAAGTGTTAGAAAAAAAGAGATAAGTCTTTGATGTATCAATTTTTTGTTATTAATATTACTTACTTTTAGCAAAGTCTGATCGTATTTCTGTGAGGAGTTTATTTCTTCTGTATCTCCTTCAATATTCTTTCGTGAAAATAACTTTCCTGTTCATTTTCCTTTCTTTTTTTCTCTTTAACATGACATATTATTGAAAAAAATGGTATCAAAAGATCCGATGTATAAAGTTTATTCAATTTTTTTCTAATCTAATCTTTAAAAGTGTAGTGTAGATTTTTTTCATGCGTGAAGGTATGCAATGCATGAGTTGCTAACCATAGAAAGTGGAGAACTTTTCTAAGACCTGCTTTAAACTTTTATGGCAGAAATTCTTGTTGTATTAATGAGAGTAGATGCACAAGATATGAGAGTCTACTGAAACTCGGATGAAAGCATCGGAAATCAATGGAAGTTGGGCGCATTATTTTGACTCCGAACCTCTTTCATTGTTTTCATTACCTACTAGCCAGTTTCGGAGAAATCTGTTTATTTTCGTACCGTCTGAAATCATCGATCTAAAAAAATGGAACGAATATGTCAAAGCATTGTCTCGAAATACTCTTCTGGAGATTAATCTGGTACATTTGAACATCTTATATAGCTGTTAACCTTTTTCCAAGCAGATTTAACATTTGAATATCATCTTAGTTATCATTAGAAGAATGCTTCATTCCAACTGTTACATCAAGCTCCAACAATCAGTCGTACACATTTTGAACTAATATGGTTGGATTTGTTAAAGAATACACATTATATAAAAGTTGATGCAATTGTTGAGGGACTATTTTCTGTATATTTCATTTGAGGTATATAATGTTCAATTGCTTCTTCAAACAAGATTGAAAATGCTTGTTCATAATAATTGATAGATGAAAGATTTTATTTGGTTGTCGAGATTATTTGTGCAATTACAATACAGAGCTATTAAGCAAATGTTCTTTCGGTTAGATCAAAAGATTCAATAACATTTATTAACCAGTGAAGTATTGAACTGTATGTCATGATGGTTTTAGAAGAATATAGGGACAATCTTAAAAATCGATTATATTCTTATATTTTAGTGCCGTTCCTATTTATTGCATCAGTTTCACAATGAATGAAAATAGGGACGAAATCAATGACGCATCAAACACCTCTATTGCAACATCCAAGAAAAGCATAATTGTTTTCTTCTAATTTGAAATAATGAGTAATGCTTACATAAAGAGTAGAATATGAATAAAAAAAAACTAATCGAGTACACCGGCCGAGAGTCGAACCCGGTTCACTCGTGTGTGAGACGAGGATTCTACCGATAAACTACCAGTGCTTGTTTTTGGAATTTAAATTTGTTTTAGAATTTCAGTAGAATTAATCGATAGAAAGAGTTCTTGGCTTTCGATCTATAGTAGACTGATATTTCTAGCTTCTTCTGTTCGAGAGTTAGAAGACTTTTCCTGAGATCTCCAGATTTCGGTCAATTAACTTATGATCACCTGAAAAACCAACTAGGCAAGATCGATTTACTACTCTGAGTCAATTAGTTGTATTCATTTTTATGCTCGAACTTATATAATACTGTTATTGGAACATTTCCGAAATGTCGACTTCTGCTTCACATGAAGGTTGGTAGTGGATTTTCAAAAATACTGAGGAGACAGTGTCAGATCAGTCCGAATCGAAAAGCAAATATCATCATTCGTCTTAGCATGATGAATTGCTCGTAAATAGGAAAAATGAGCACTGGTAGTTTAGCGGTAGAATACTCGTGTGACACGCGAGTGATCCGGGTTCAACTCCCGGCCGGTGTATTCGACTTTTTTTGTATTTTTTACTTATATTCTACTCTTTAGCTAAGCATTACTCTTGTTCTTTCAGATCAGAAAAAAAAGGTTGCTTTTCTTGAATGTTGCAATACAGATATTCGATGAGTCATCGATTTCGTCAATAATTTCATTCATCGTGAAGCTGATGCAATACATAAAAAGGCATCACAATATAAGAAGATAATATTCTTTTAAAACTATCGTGGTATAAAGCCAAAGTTCATATGAACGTTGGAGGGATCGTAGTGACATATGTCTGAAAATAAAGAAAATTTCTTTATAAAATCAAAGATTCCAAAATCTACTTTTAAATTACTTTTCGGGATCAAATCCGCATAAAAGTAGATGAAGCAATCATGACTTGTTAAAATTAAAACGTACCTTTGTGAGATAAACTTCAAAGTTGGTCAGTATAGAATCAAATTTTCTCTTGAGATGCATACTTTTTATCATACATATGTTTTTTTTCATTCTCTCGACTCCTCATTGTTGATTCTAGTTTGTATTGTTTCTCTTTATATATGTAACTATCATATTATAGATATTTGATTTCAATCGAAAAACCAAAGTATATACATAGTGGAACAACGGCCTGATCCAATCTCATCGTTAGATTTTCTAATCTGGATACTTGTACACATTGTTAAAGAAAATTTTTAATATGAAATGCCAGTGACAATGATGAATTTAGGGGTGCTAGGGGCGATCACCCGTAGTTCAAAAGTAGTTCGCTTTTTCTCGGCAGAAAAAGCTTGAAACTAAGCTGATAGTATCTCTAGTGAGGTTCAAAGCACGTTTTATTATCATGATTGCCCCTAGGCTCAACTGGATTGCTCCGCGTCATAAAAATCCTAGACCTGCCACTACCTAGTGAGAAATATTTAGAATAAATCGATGTGAAGAATGCCGAATTCAGACATCTTGAGGATCTGGATGTTGGTGTGGGTCAGTGTAGGTGTAAGTATGAGCGAATAGAAGACGAACAGCCTATTCGACATTTCACACCAAGATCCCATCTTATGTGGTTAGGAGCAAATTACTAGATTTACTTTAACAAAAAATTTCTCATAATTGCATTTTATCATTAGAAATATAAATTTTACGGTGAATAGATCTTATTTCAGTAGGTATAAAATCTAATTGAAATGTTTGACTATTCAATTATTCTTTTATTTTTCTCTCTCTATTATGTAGATCAAGGCAATACAATTATATACGACAGATAAAAGAAAATAGTTGAACTATAGTCATCATCGAGTTGTATCTTTTACTTTTCGTTTTCATGATTTTTACTTGTAAATTTTTTTTGTTACCTTGATAGCTACGTCTCTCTTTTTGTTTTAAAATTATTAAAAACATATCCATAATCATTTAACTCTGAAGTGAACATTTGTGTAAATTTTTCGTTATATACTTCGACACTTATTATCAATCATGTTTCAAAAAAGTAATGCGCATACTTTTCATGTACTAGTTAGTAATCAAACTTGGAATTTTCCCCCTCGATTCTTTTTGTCGCAAAACAGGTTATAAAATAATGGAGAAAAAGAGAAAGAAAAGAAACAGAATAAGCTGCTTCATTTCGAGAATGTGTACATTTTTTTCTTGCTATCAACCACGCCCACTTTTTTTCGTTCTTAAAATTAGTTGGCAATGTCAGACGAAAAATAAAAGCGAAATACACTCTTGTTGCTATTCTATCCTGCCTAACATGCACAGTCGATTATTTTTTCTTAATATATAAAACATATTAAGTATGGCTCGCTTCGAACAACAAAGAATGAGACCAGTTGAGGATTTTGTTCTTGTGTGGCTCGGAAATATGGAGGAAAATAATAACACAATGACTCAACTGCGCCACCATGTACATGATATTCAAACGTTTACAGATTCTAATGAGTGTATAAACTTTATTCTTGAGTTTACTCGTGATCAAAAAATTATTTTTATTCTCAATATCGATGGCATGATAGATTACGATACAATCTTATTAACCGTCGAGTCATTCTCTCAAGTATCTATGATTTATATTTTATGCAAAAATGATTCCATGTCAGGAATAAAACAAAGGTTACAAGATCACCAGGGCAAGATTCAATTGGTGTTTTCTGAAATTGAGTCATTGAGAGATCGTCTTTGTCGTTTTATCACACGGAGATTGAACAATGAACTTGTTAGTTTTCAGACCATAAATGCATCTCTGAGAAAAAACACAACAGGAACGGTTGAAAAATTAAACAAGCAAGAAGCATCCTTTATGTATGGGCAAATGGTCAGAGAAATTTTGCTTGAATTCGATTCGACGCCTGCATCAAAAATGGAAATGATCGAATTTTGTCGTCATTTATACAATGATAATCCATCAGAACTAGCATTTATCAAGGAACTCGAGAATAATCCTCGAAATCAATCATTTACCTATTTCTATACAACCGAACATTTTCTTTATCGAATGCTCAATAGAGCCTTACGGTTACAAGAAATAGATAAACTCTATAATTTACGTTACTTCATTCGACAGTTACATGAAGAACTCAAACAGTTACATAATGAAAAATGTCGGCAAATGGAGTCAACTAAAATGTTATATCGAGGCCAAGGTATGCCACGAGAAGAATTCGAAAAAATACGGGATAGTGTAGGTGGTTTATTATCATTCAATACATTTCTGTCGACAAGTGCAGATTTTGCTGTTGCTTATATGTACGCAGAGACAATACTATCTTCTACGGATATGTTACCAGTGTTTATGGAAATTAATGTACAAGAAACAAACTTAGGAAACAATGTATTTGCTGATATTCGCCATTTGACTCAATTTACCGAAGAACAAGAGTATCTTTTCTCTATGGGTTGCATTTTTCGTATTTTATCGATTGAACAAGAATCGAACGGAATCTATCGTGTTAAACTCGTGCTGACAAGTGATCAAGATGAAGAACTTGCTTATCTGAGATGGTTTATGAGTACAACTATGCATCAAACATATCATCGAGGTCCACTTTTTCGCCTTGCTGGTCTAATGAATGAAATGAGTCGACATTCATATGCCGAGTATTTCTATACGATATTGTTAAAAGATCAGGAGATTCAGCATCAACCATTTGCGCTTGCTTGCATTCATGGTAATATGGGTTATCTGAGCACGGAAAAAGGAGATTCACAAGATGCTCTCAAGCACTATGAACTTGCACTTAAACTCTATGAGGAAAATTCATCACATGATAATGATCAATCGATTGCAAATCTTCTTGCTAACATTGGAGAAATCTATATGAGTCAGAAGAAGTTTGAGCAAGCTATATCCAATTATGAACGTGCTCTTACAATCGATATGAATCCTGCCAATGGCAAGAAACCTAATCCAGGATATATTTCCAATCGTTATAATCAATTGGGCGTCATCTATGAACGTACAGGTCACTATGAGAAAGCACTTGATTATTACAAACGATGTTTACAAATACGCCTTGAGAATATGCCTCCGAACCATCCTGATTTAATTGCGCCGTACAATAACATTGCACTTCTTTATGATAAAGTTGGTCAATCTGAACAAGCCGTTGATATTTACATGCGTATTTTGGACATTAGTACGAATTCACTACCACCCGGTCATATAAAATTCGCTACCTTATATCATAATATAGCTTACAATCTTGAAGATGTGGGTCGATTCAATGAAGCACTGTCGTATGCTCGTAAATCTTTTGATATAATCGAGAAATCATCATTGTCACCGACGCACGAGTTCTACGTTGACAATCGTCGACATTTAGAACATCTTGAACGTATTGTTTCAGATTTCGTCGAGCACAACTAAAATTTGCTTATCAATAAAGCGAGTTTGACATGTTTGAGGGTGTATGTGTGGGTGGTTCTCTTTGTATATCTTCTCTTCATTCGTATGCCAAAATATCGTCAATCTGTTTTTTTTCGCTTTGAAGGTCTAAATAGGAATAAAATTTCTCTCGACCAGATTTTTGATAATTGTTTTTTTTTTGTGGAGAATAGTGAGATTTGGTGTGGTGAAGTGACATTTTTCTAGTTGATTTTAACATCATGTGTACTAATATGGTAACAAAAAACTGAATGAAAGAAAATTTCATAAGTCTGTTTGGATAAAAACTGCGCGATAGTACTGGTTTTAATATGAATTGACTTTGACGTTTGTATCTTTTATAATAATGAAGTTATTAAAATTCTGCTGGTGGCATTAAATGGACTACAAATAGGCTGAAAGTTCGATCCAGTTTAACATACCGAGCTGAAATTTTTACCAGCAGAGCTTCTCAAAAAAGTCTTATTGTTGCTTTATGCTCTATGGAACGTGTAATCGTTCACATCTTAGTTTGTTTTGAGAACAACGAAAAAACGCGTCACTAGAAAACTAAACTATAGTCTATTTTAGAGTTAAATGAACGAATATATTTTTGAGTAGGGTGTAGATGGGAGCGCAACGTGAGTTTGGTGTATGTGTGCAATTCTATTGTGGAACAAAGGACGCATACTCATACCCTTTATAAAAAAATATAGAGCGAAATCGAATCTCAATAGTACTAAAACTTGAGTTATTTTTCCCTTTCTATTCAAAGATATTCAAAAAATGTTCACATCCATTGAACTCTGAAATGGACATTAGTTCATATGTCACTCAAAAAAATGATTCTATGGACTACTCGTCCATGATATAATATCTTTTGAGATTCTCCCTGATGACGTTTTTAAGAAAAAACACAAACAAACCGTGTTTGATGTGAAATGTTCAATATTCTAATCGCACACCCTGATTGTGATATGAATCTTCAATTTAATTGTAGGGAAACAATCTTCTTGGATAGATATTGTCATATATGATTTTCCTTCTTATATATTAAGAAAACAAAAACAATCAAATATTGTTAATTCTATTATTTTGAAAATTCAATATGCAATATTACATACCAAAAAATATTATGCTATCATGACAGTTCATATGTCATTTGAAAAATTTATTCTACGGATCAATAGTCGATGATATGGTTTTGAAATTCCTCATATGTCCACATTAACACAAAATCACGCAATGGATGTATTTGCTAGGATGAGATGTTTAATTATCTGAAGTTTCCTTTTTTCTGTTTTTGTTGGAATTCTAAGTCGAATACTACTATCTTTTTCTTCAAGTCGAAATTCTTCAACGGTATAGGAAGACCAATTATTGACGAAGAGAGGGTTGCTACAAATGTCTTCAACATGTTTGGACTCAATAAAAACAACACAAATTAACCAAGCAACAAGGGTGTGGGTGTATGTGTCGTTATAGTGTTGGTGTGAGTTTTGCCTTAGCTCACCCATGCCTACGCACCGACACTTCTACCCACGCTCCATACCCACGCCTGTTGCTTAACAGGAACTCACTATAAAGCAACATCCAGGATACATTGAAATGCAGCACCATAGTAATTTCAATGCTAGCTATGATATAGGCTCGAATCTCGATTTTGTTGCTGGGCTGTCCACTTTGTCTCCTCATCGTTGTATCTCACAAATACCTGACCGTTAGACTGGATAAAGCTGCAAAACTTCCCCACTTCCAAAATATGTTCTTTTTTATTTTCATGTGAGATTTCCACACCTTCCTTTGACTCAGTATTACTCATGTTTCTTTTTGCGTACCTTGGATTTTTACCTGTGTGCCGCTTTCGCAATATAGATGCAAGATAATTTTTTTTTCTTGCTCGTCTTTTATTCATTCATGAGAGAGGCAAAAAGCGTCATTTGGCAATAACATCATATGGCAGAACAAGCAGAAACAAGGAATGTCCATTGGCCTGATACATCGCTTCCAGAAAATCAACTAGTATTGGAATTGAATGCATTACGAGACGGGCTGACATCTGAAAAAGCAGCACAGTTGTGTTCTCAACTTGGTTGTGGATATTTAATTCAGTTTGTTGAGAGTAGGACATTGCACTACGCCACAGCTATGGCAGCATATATTCAATTACTTATATCCATAGCAAAAATCGTTGATCGTCGAACATTTATGGAACCATTTCCGAAAAGCTGTGGAGGATGCGCCTCTATCCAATTTTTTTGTATGGTCAATTTACATCGAGAGTTGGCAAATGATGTATTCGATTTATTTCGAGTGTTACTGAACGATGATGAAGGCGAAATCGTAACGAAAGATGAAGTATTGACAATGGGAACTATGATGAGAAGGCAATACAAGAGACATTACGATCCGTTTCCCTACATGGGAAATTGTTTAGATTTCACTGAAGAACTAAGAATGATGACAGATAAATTACGTGATTTGATTACGAACGAAAAATTTGGGTTAGCTATGCAAAAAAATCGAACACAATGTATTTCTTTCCTAAAACAATATTTTACTGAAAGAACTACTCTTAATCTCAACGAGTTCTTAGAAACGCTTTAATGCTTGTCAATACGAACTTGATGTCAATAAAGATGATTCTGTGACTTTCTACAATCCTTGATCGCTTTTCAATGAAAGTTAATCATGTTTATCAAGATGTTTTTTTGAAAATGAATATTTAACATGAGAAAGAAATAAAGTCGTTTTTTTTCAGATTGATTCAATAAAACGGTCATTGTTTATTTGTTGGTTATCATAGAATGTTCAACATTTTTTAAAGCATGTCAATGAATTGAGTTATTGAGATATACATTGCCGAATGCAAAGACTGACATGATGTGTTTTCAAGAGTTCAACATGAAAATGATGTGCAAACGGGTAATTCTCTATTGATTATGTGGCTTTTTTCGTTGGACGGAAAAAAACTCCAATATACTTGATACAGCGTTGTGAGACTCTTCACCTCCTTAGAGAAATTACTCAGCATAAGTCTCTCGAAGAGCGTTCTTGCACTCACGCCGAGTTTGTTTCTTAAGATATTGAGAAATACATGGAATTGTTGTTCTTTGGATTCAGATATCGATTTCTATTGAAATCTATCGACATCCACCCCATCAATCAGCTGATATGGTACGTTAAATCCAAATCAATATGATTGATGGTTGATATCCAATATCTTCCTCAACTTTTCGAAGAGGAATGTAAGTATGGACATAGATATGATTGTGGATAAAGAGAAGACTCACACCAACACTGTGGAGTGAGTTCGTGGAGAGAAACATTTCTCGATGAAATGTAAAATGCGGTTAATTCAAAATTTAAGCAAATTTTTTTTTTGTTTTTCTATATTTTGGTTATATTTTGTATGTTGTCATTTAATGTTACAAACGGTTTCAAAGTTGGTTTT